ACAACTAGGCAGTGGGACCAAGTCCTGTGCTCATTGCATGAGTTGGCTGTTTAAAATCTGGAGCTTATGCAGGGACACTTGACTCATTCTGGGAGGAAGGGACTGGACCTGCCTGGACTGAGTCTACCAGGTTGATCGCAGTCCTCGGGGGGAGGATTTGCCCTGAAGGAGGTGGGAATGGGGGGTAGGCTGGGGGTAAGGGGAGGGGGTGGGAGGGGGGAGAATAGGGGAACCCATGGCTGATATGTAGAACTGAATGGTATTGTAAAATAAAAAATAAAAAAAAAACAAAAAAACTGAGTTCGTTGACATATGTCGCAACCTTCCACCACCTCACTAGCTATAGACAGAACACTGGGTCCATACTTTTTATCTCCATGACAACCGTTTGATGAGGGAGTAGCCATGAGCCTGGGATACTTTGTCCAGGTTGCAGCAGGCTTTCTGCTGGCATTTTCAGTCTTAATGCCAGGGCCATCATTCCTCATCATGTTGATGGGATTTTTCTTATAGCACACTTAACAAAAAAAGTAGACTATTTCTTGCAACTGTGTTTGTTTCTTTTTGGTTTTTGTTTGTTTTTGTTTGTTTTTCGAGACAGGGTTTCTCTGTGTAGTTTTGGTGCCTGTCCTGGATCTCACTCTTTAGATCAGGCTGGCCTCGAACTCACAGAGGTCGGCCTGGCTCTGCCTCCCAAGTGCTGGGATTAAAGGCGTGTGCCACCACCACCTGGCCAGCAATTGTGTTTTTAGGAAAGAACAAAGGAGAGTGAAGAGTATGCATGTGCAATAAGAGTGAGTCATGATTTATATATACAAATAATATTTCGTGCCTCTTTCCAAATACCACGACTGACTAGCTCATGCCTTTGTCAGCCTGGCCCCTGTGGATACTAGAGTTTTTCTGATGTAGTTTTGAGTCGTCAAGAAAGAGGCCTTGAATGAGTTAAACATTTCTGAATCTTGAGTTCATCATCTGTGGAAACAGAGTATAAAATGGCCTGATGTAGAAAAGCAGTGTAGTAATACAGAGGCGAAATGTGCCTTGTGACCCACAGAGTGCTATTAAAGGGTAGTATATTCTCTGTCCTTCCTGGAATTCCTATGTTGAGACTGTAATCTTGAAGATAATCAGCACTTTTTGGAGATGAATCGGCCACGGAACTGAAAGAGGAGATTAATCTGCCCAGGCGTGGGACAACGTTTAGTTCCTTTTTAGATAATCTTTCTCAGTTACTTGATGTAGTTCCCTAGTTCCCTAGGAGAAAGAGCTTAAGACATTGCATTTCTTTCAGAAGCAGTTTGCTGTCACATGAGGGCCTTCAGGGAGCCCCTTCCTACGATGGAGGGGAAACGGGAGAAGGTTAGGAAGACGCCGATATTGAGACTGTTTCTCTATAAGCGTGCCAAAAGACTATACTTAGGGAGGCCTTGTTTTCTGAGACCCCGCACTTCCATGGCGAGATACTCACTGGGGAGGGACATGAGAGAGCCTTCCAGAAGGGAGGAGGAGAGCAGAAATATCTCATTCTTGAATTACACATTAGTGTTCAGGTTAATGTGTAAAGAAAACCTCCAACTCCACAGCAGCGTTTGTGACAGGGATGCCGCACTCTCTTCATGTACATATTGTTGGGACTCACAAAGTGGTACCTCAAAGTGTGCTTTTTAACCTGGGGAGCTGGAGGAGTGGTCTGAGAGAGGATCCTTCTGAGCCTCCCCTGCCCCGTGAGATTGACCTTCCCACAGGTGCAGGATAGGACATAATCTACATGAAGACCAGACCCGCTGAAGATCAAAACCTCCTTCCGTTCTCACGAAGGAAGCTCATAGTCTATCAAAGTGCATCCACACAGGGTGGACTTTGTCCCAAGATAACATCTCTTTCTGGCTCGTTCAGATTCCAGAGGGTCATTTATAATCCCATCTCTGTCTCGGAGCCTATCCTTCCCCTTGATAATCATTTACTATCCCTCTAAATTGCCTCTATTTCCATCCCCGCCCCCATTATTTTTTCTGTGGAGAAGGGTATCCAGGTGTCCAAGCCTCACTGGGGTCAGTGGGGGAGTCACACCCCTGAGCCTTACTGAGATAGTGCTGAGTCACGCCAACATCTGAACCTCATTGGCTCAGTGGAAACACACTGCCTGACTGTCCGCGGTGCACACCAGAAAACGGCTGTATCATTTCTCCTGCCAGTCTGTGTTGTCCGTTTACCTCAGTCAACATTCAGAGGTTGAAGGGAGCGAGGGATTTCCTCTACCTGTGTATAATGTGAATAACGAGAAAGGCGATTAAAATAGCTAAGCAGTAACATCTTGCCCCTTGTTCACTGGAATCTCAGTTCAAGTTTCAACTATTTTCTGTCACTTAGGGTTTTTTTTTTTTTTTAAAGAATTTTTGTTTTGTTTTGTTTGTGACAGTGGGAATTGAACCTGAGGCCTCACATGTGCTAGGCAAGTGCTCTATCACCGAACTTCATCCTGAATTCTTTTTTATTTTTAGGCAGGATCTCACTAAGTTGCCTTGAGCTCACTCCTAGCCCAAGTAGATCTTGAAGTTGTCATCCTCTTGCCTCCATCTCCTGACAGCTAGGATTACAGGCTTGCCCCATCAGGCCCAGCTTTTAAAAGTTTTCAAGTGAGAATATGTATGTATCAATGCAAGTACTATCAATAGTGGTGCTCGGAGAATTTGTGGATAATTTATAGTGGTTTTGGTGATATTAAAAATCACCCTTCACTGGCCTTGTTCGAGGCACACTTACTTACTTCATTTTTCTGCAATCATCATGCAGCCTCAGCACTGCTATGGGTGTGGCCTCAAGCTATGACTAAGTCCAGCCAGGTATGACTGAGTCAGGTAGCATGCCTTTAAGGATTTGATGTTAGGCTCTGTTTCTTTGTCTCACGTTTCTGAGCATTAGCCCAGTGCAGCTTACAGTAGTCACGGTGAGTCAGCAGAGCTTAAATGCTTAGTGTGAACCAGTGGCACATTCCCGCTGAGAGGAAACGTTCATTCCCGCTGCTCTGCCTGCTCTCCTCACTTTCAGATAGATCTGGAGGGCCACCTGATACACTGGCGGTAGCTGGAACAAATCATTCCCTGGGTGACAGTGTTTTCCTAACAGTTAGTCGGGTTCAGTAAGGCTAGAGGCACAAGTGGTAAAAGTATGGGGGGGGGGACCTTAATCACTGTGCTTTGAGATAATCTAATGAAATGATGTGTGTAAAGGGAAAGGTTGATTTCCTTTCTTTCGCTGACATTTTCTTCACAGTGAGCCGACAGCTTCCCTCCTTCTGCAGACCCTAGTGCCTATGGATCCCTCACAATTCTGCCCCTTCACCTCATTCATGACACCCCGAAATGCCATATTGCTCCTTAGCTTTCTAAACCCACTGGAAAACTTACAGGACCAGAGAAACACTTCTCTCCTTAAATTTTTCCTGCTGTAATAGTTCTCACAGGATTCATGTAAACTTTTATTTCTTCCCATGGACTCTTGCTTCATGGACTCTCCCCGCACCCAAACACACGAGTTCTCCCTAAATGGTGGATACTAGCTAAGTATGGGTTGAACTGAGTAACAATTAAAAATGAAATATTTACTTCTGTCAGCTGAGTAAATATTGAACTTGCTTAAGCGTGATTACGGTCAATGCCCAGGCACTGCCATTTCCTGCTTTCAGGGAACTATTATCTGTTGCTAACTTGTTCCTCAGGGTTTTCCTTTCCTACCTAGTTCAGACAGAGCTCCTGGGGTTTATGAGGTTAAACAAGACATTATAACATTGTACCTCTACTTAAAACAGGAGGAACAAAACCCCAGTTTCTACAGCTAGCACAGAACACTCACCCCTAGCTGTCCAAATTCAGACAATGTTTCCTGTGGGAAACAATCATTTCAATGCAGTCTGACACCATCTACCTAGAGGCTGGAGCTCACGAGTAAAGTACCTCTGTGAGACTGATCATTTGAGATGCCAACCAACACACTAGGGTATCATACGTCTTCCTACCATGAGATATAGGCCAGGGATCCCATCACCATCTCCACAAATTAATTTGCTAGCATGGCTCATAGAACTTATGCTTGCTGGTTTATTGCAAAGGATACAGACAAAGAGCCAGGTGAAAGTGATACAAAGGGCAAGTATATGGGAAGAGAGGTGGAGCTTCTCTGTGCTCCCTGGGCCTATAACTGTTTAGATACATGGAAGCTTTTTGAACAGTGTGTTTGTGTGTGTGTGTGTGTGTGTGTGTGTGTGTGTGTGTGTGTGTGTGTGTGCATGTGTGTATGTGTGTGCATGTGTGTATGTGTGTGCATGTGCATGTGTGTGTTTGTGTGTGCATGTGTGTGTGTGTGTGTGTGTGTGTGTGTGCATGTGTGAAAGCTGCAGATGTAGAGGCCAGAGAGTGACATCAGATGTCTTCTATCACTCTCCACCTTTACTTTTTGAGACAGGCTCTTCTTATTGACCCTTGGGCTCACTGTTCGGTTAGACTGGCTGGCCAGTGAGCTCTGAGCGTCTTCCTGTCTGTCCTGTTCATGTGTGAACAGGCCACCTGGCTGTTTAGGTGAGTGCCGACCATCAGAACTCAGTCCTCAGGCTTGAGCACCAAACCCTATTCACTCAGCCGTCTCTAGGGCCCCTTTGGATTTTTATGGAGATTTTTTTATTGGCACAGTTGATAATCAAATCATCTGCCACTGTAAGCGGCTCACCCTGCAGTGCCTCCTCTTTGCAAGGAAGGACAGGCTGGGGCCTAGAACTGAAAGTTCCAGCCCTCTAATCATACTTAAGTCTCCCCCGTCCCCGCCCTTCCTCCTTCTAATCACACCTAAGGGCCCTTAACCACCGGCCATCTCAGCACACAAAAGGACCTCGTCACTCCATAGATTCCAAGAGCATTGAGGAGCTGAATGTCAGGAAACAGGAAGGAAAAATGAGTACATATTTCATAATATAATAACCACTGACACCTTATCATAAATTCCAGGTACTCACTGCTCTTTGTTTTGTCAACTTGACACAAGCCATGGTCAATTGGGAAGAGGTAAGTTCAACTGAGAAAATGCTCCCATCAAACTGACCTGTAGACAAGCCTGGGGGGGCATTTCCTTGATGAATGATTGATGATTAGTAGATGGTCTTGGGTTGCATAAGAAAGCAGGTTAAACACCTCATGAAGAGCAAACCAGTAAGCAGTGTCTTTCTGTGGCCTCTGCTTCAGTTTCTGCCTCCAGGTCCTACGCTGGCTTCTCTCCATGATGGACTATAACCTATAAGGTGAGGTTGCACCCCTGCACTCCAGGTTTCTTGGGTTTTGGTGTTTAGTCACAGCAATACGAAGCCCACTAAGACATCTACCGGGCACCATGCTTGTAAAGCAGCAGAGGAAGTTGAGGAGAGAGGGTACTGAGGAGTCCCCAGGGCCCGACTGCTGGGGTGGGGCTGCAGGGTTTCTCAGAATCTGGCAATATGATTGTTCCTAGTTCTCTCTGCTTCAGTTGTGGGAAAATGGGGATGCTCATCATGCTGTCCTCCTCTGTTGCTATGAAGAATAAATGGCAACTGGTGCAGATCAAGCGCTGTAGACGCACCGCCTTGGCCAGAGCTGCTGCTATTTGAAAAGTTGGTACCAAGGTCCCTAAATAGTATAATGAAGTAAAAACAAGACAAGACTTGGCTCATTTAGAGTTCTATTTTATGCACTCTATTTTTGGTTTTGCTTATGGTAACTTGTTATCAAATTATTTTATTTATTATTTATTGTTATTTTTATAAGACCTTCTAAGAAGTTTTTTTAATCCTTTATGAAAAAATGACTTAGGAATAACCAATTAACTGGTTAAATTTAGAAAGTATAGCCAAGTAGAGATAGAAGTATGCTATTACTTTTCTGTTAGCAATTATAGGTTTTTACTAATTTATCAGAGGAACGATTTTAAACTTCCCTTCTACTTAGTGTATTAAAAATCAATCGAGAGCCAGGGCTGTAGCCCAGTGGCAGATACAGCCCTTGCCTAGGATCTGGGTTCTAAATCTCCAGCATTCCCAAGAGGGAGGGAAAAAGCCAGGTCTCATTGGCACTTTGGAGTAGAAATCAAGACAGTTACCAAAATAAGGTGGAAATGGAGGATTGGAAGAACCAGGAAATAGGGTATACATGTTTCTCCTAGCCCGATTGAGTTGGAGTTGTCTAAGAACAGAAACCAGGCAACCAGCGTGACCTTTAGGCCAGAGGAAATTCTGCTGAACAGCCAAGTGTTCCTGTGATGGAACAGAGCCTTTCTCTGAGCCTAGGACTACTGTCATGCTCTGTAGGATGAAGTGTGCTTGTCTGCGTGGGGCTGTGTTTTAGTTTCAAGCTCTTTAATGCCTCTTTCTCGCCCTGCTTTATGCACGTGTCAGTCACAGAAGCCGAACAGAAAGGCCTCTTTTCAAACATGAGTAATGGCCCCATTCACCAGAAGTTGGTGGGATCTGATCCCAGCAGCACCAGTCAGCACACGAGTGACTCCAGATGCCAAGGTAAACTTCCTCTCTTCCATTTTCTATCATGTACCACACTCTAAAGGCAGGAAGGCCAAAGGCAGGGTGTGCGACTTGCTGTAACCTTTTACTGGTCTCTGTCTGTCTTTCCCATGAGAACTAATCTAACGTGATCTAGACCAGGGCCATTTATTTGCATGGAGAGAAAATAAACTTAAGCAGATGAAGGGTGGCTCCTTGTCTCCAAATATGTCTTACAGAAATATAGCCAAGCCGCCTATAAACCTCTCACATGCATCATCTCCCAGAGCCACACCTGGTTCTCCTGTAACTATTTCAGTTTGCTCTCATAACACTTTTGGAGTTTGTTTAAAAATATGTGGACATTTACTATATGATTTCCTTTTTTAAAATTAAAAAAATGACAAATGAACAAGTAAATAAAGTGAAGACTCTTAATGTCATCAACTTCTGGCCTCCACGTGTGCACTAAGAGGCACCTGTACACATAAGCATATAGTATACACACACACACACACACACACACACACACACACACACACCATAAATAACTCTTTTCTAAAAAGAGGTGTTCTTTTTATCTGAAACATTGCAAGTTGTTTCACGGTCTGCTATAAAGATCCTGCAATAAAAGTCATGTTAATTCACACCCACCGAAAAGAGAAATGAATCTAGGCCATGTCGTTTCTTTTCATGTAGATGCAGGAGTGGAGGCTGTTTAACCGAGGCTGAAGGGCAAACAGGTAATAAGGTGGTAGAAATTACAAGTCAGTTAGGAGCCACTATTGTTGGGGATAGTCAAAGACTTCATTTGCCCTTGAGACATCTTGGTTTCACGCCAGCACGCCTCACACTTTGTTCTCTTTTATTCCGTTCACTCTCTCCTTCCTCCTCCTATAAGGAAGAACACTTGCACTTTCTGTTTTTGCAGTGTTGTGGATCAAACCCAGGGTCCCAGTCATGCTAGGCAAATAAATGTCCTATCACCAAACCATACCCAGTTTCCTATTTACCTATTTACCAACCAGAAAGCTATTTCTGAGAAACATGGCAGTCTGTAAGGGTTGGTGTGGGTTTTGAAAGCTCTAAACTCTCTTCTTCATCCTCCTATGGTGACCAGGGACTAAGTCAAGAACCGCAGACCTAGATGGAAGACCAGAGCATGGTGACTAGCTATGTGAAGGGCACTGGGGGACACTGACTCTAAACAGCTTTCAAATGAGAAGCTGAGATCAAGGACCATGCAAAGCACAGTTAAAAGAATAAAAACCTGAAACAGAGCACAAGGGTCAGAGAATGGAAAGGACTCACAGTTGTCTTGGTCTTCTGGAAAATGAAGGGTACCACATACACTTCTGGTCTCCGAGTACCATCCACACTATGCTTCTGGTCTCCAGATGATGACCCTTGATGGATCACTCCCATCTTCCGTGTCAGGAAGATTTATTAAGGCAACTCCATGTACTTCAAAAGGAGGTTTATTTTGGGGTGACTTACAACCAGTAAAGGGGTTGGTTACAGGATCCAGGAGAGGTGGAGTACAGTCCAACTGGGTTCTCTGGAGAACTCTGCTCGGTCTACCATCCAGCATCCAGGATCACCAGGAACCAAGAGACCTGGCACACCCGGATCTTGAGTCCTAAGGGCTCCCATCTTGGCCTGGCCCCAGGGGTAGGTCATAGATAGGCGTGACCCCCGGCCTCCTACTTTCATGGATTTTTTTTTCTAACCACTGCCTTTTACATAGAGAGTATGGGAAGGGGTGATTACGAGTAGGAGGTTATTTGCCAGATTACGGGCAACCAACCCGTGGGATATGAAAGTGGTGGTGGGGAGATACCAGGCATGAAAAGGTGTAAATGGGGAAGAGAGTGGGGGGATGGGGAGAAGGTGGGAGTGGTGGAGGGTTAATAAAGATGAGGGGTTATGAAAAAAAAATCACAAAGATGCCCACTGCTTTATAAGCTAACTGAAAACGTTAAGTTAAAAAGGAGCTAAGAATGCAGGCACTCTATGTGGGTAAAATACTGCTCCCGCAACTCACGGGCGGTGTTTAGTTTTTTAATGAAAATCACAGCGTCGTGTGAAGCACACCTCCGTCAGAGTTGTGGGGCAGAGAGGTCCCAGCGGCTCCCGAAAATAATGTATGGCCTATTGACATTGTTCTTGATGGCCCCCTAGAAGTACATGGTAAGATTGGATTCCTGAAGAGATTTATACGTTTTGATTGCAGGACACGGAGAAATCAAGCCGGAACTAAGCTGGAAGCTGCCTCTCCTGTTCAGGCTGCCGGGAGAGAGAGCTCATCGATAGTCCTTACTCAGCGGTGAACTCTGCATGCTGGGTTCTGTTGGATGAAATACAACCCACTGGTCCAATAGTGGCGTGACCGCTTTGGGGGCAATCAACCACTTTCTGGTTGGATTGGAGGCACACTCTGAGGGAAGGAATACACACTTGTTGCTGTAGACCAGATCAAGACTCCCAGGCTAGGGAGGTCATAGGGTCCACGGGGGAACCTACTACATTTGGGTTTGCTGTTTTCTCCTTTCCAGAAGAAGATGATACAATGAACTGCAGCAAACATTTGTGTGAATCCTCCATCCAAGCTTGACTGAATTTTGTGCCACCTGGTGGTATTGGCAGAGGTTTCTTTAGTCTTAACTATTCTTTCAGGGCCTCCTAGGCAGACAGTTTTAGTTTTCAGGTCAGTGTGGGCCTATCATTCCTGGCCCATTTGTGTATGACTCCAAATGAACTAGAGAATGGGAAGATATTACTTTTTTTCTCCCCTGGAGGACCCCCTAAATTCCCAATAGCAGCTCAACTATTTAATCTGAGAATTGCATGAAGCATTTAAAAAAAAAATAAAACAAAACATCATAAATTTGATTGATTGATTGATTGATTGATTGGCTGCTGAATGTGAAATGATATAGTCTTTAACAGAGATCAGTGTTTATTGAAGGAGATATAAACACATATTCTGATTAAAAAGACAACAGTAAATAATGTGCATACTGTAAGGATCTCCTGGGTTTTATGTTGAACAAGATGAGATCTACTACCACAGGCAAGTGCAGGCCCTTTGCCAGCTCCAGGATTCTAAAAGAGACCCGTGTCTAAAGATCACAGATTATCTCATGCCTGAATCATGCCCAGCACCTGAAGTTTCCCAGCACTACCAAGCTATTGTTCTGGTACTCATAATCCCATCATTTGTTAGCCCCACCCCCACCCCACACTGCTATTTCAGGAACAGAGACTCATAATAGGTAATGTTAAGAACAGAATAATTTGTGTTTTTCCCAGGTGATATTTGAGTCGGGCCTATTTCCAGTCTGGCTATTGCCAGCAAACTGACATCTTCCTTCCTGATTTCTAGCTCACTTCTTGCTGGAGCTCAGTCTCCTAGGGCTGGCTGTTTGGAGAACTCAGTTGGCACAAAATAAGAAATGTAAAACTTCATGCTTTAGGGAATGAGCAGGGAGCCTCCAGCACATCTCAATCATGGCTAATTTAGCACTACATAAGAGTGGACGCCATTTGTCATAGAGAAGGGTGGCTATGCTGGGCAAATATACTATCTATCTCTCCAAGCAGTTCTCTGTAGTATTTGGGAGGAAATTCTTACTGCATGCAAAAAGGACAACAATTACTTGGATAAGTCAGGTTTTCATTGCTGTGATAAATACCTGAGAAAAAATTAACTAAACTTAAAAAGGGAGGAAATATTTACTTTTTTTCCTCATGGTTTCAGTCCATGGACAGTTGGTTCCATTGCTGTGGGCTTAACAGAGGGCTGAATATCGTGATGCGGAGCAAAGCTGCTCACCTTGTAGCAGACAGGAAGCAGAGGGGATGGTCATATACACCTTTTCAGAGCATGCTATGGTGACCTTTCTAGCCACATCTCCTGCTTTCTACCCCTCCCCAAATGCCACTGAATTCATCAGGGAACTAATTCACAGATCAGAGCCTCAGAGCCCTCAGGACCCAATTACTTCCGAAACTGGGGACAATATCACCAATAGAGAGGCCCCGTGGGGAAACTTCACATTCAAACTATGATATCCCACCCCTGAGCCTCAAAAGGCTCAAATGCATTTCATAATACAAAATTAATTAAATGCACCTCCAAGAGTCTCTAGTGGTCTTAACAGTTTCAACATTTCTCAATTTACTTTAAACATCTCCTCGGCAACTAAAGGCACACTTACCTGTGAATCTCTGCATAATTTAAAAACCAATGTACACATACACATAAATATGTACACATAAATATGTCTGTTCAAAACAAAACAAAACAAAAACAAAAACGGGGAATAGAAGAATGCCAAGAAAGGATCAACCCAACAAAATGGAAACCTAGAGGGCAAACATCAAATCTATAGCTCCATGTCCAGGAGTGAGGGTGAATAATGCCATGATGTAAGCTCCACCGGTCCTGGACAGCACTGCACTTATGGCCTTGTTAGTTGCAGACCACATGACGTATCTGTTGGACTGGCTTTGTTGACTGCCTGTAACTTTCTTCAGTAAGCATTCAGTATTTGGGGCATCTCCAGCATCATAGGGGTCTGTATATTTGTCTTAAGTTTCATCCTCATAATTCCATGCAATCCCCTCAGGGTCTTCCTGTAGTGATCTTAACCAGGCTACACATTTCCTCATCCCTCAGCCTTCCTTTGAAATTGAGACAGAAACCCCCATGAGCCCACAGTCCTTACATTCTTGCATGCATGCAAACCCAATATCACATGGACAAGCTAGCGCCTGTGGCCCCTCTGAGTGCCTGGATGGCCAGATGGGGAAATAATTCCCTAGGTGGCCCTGTAACAAAAGGAGACTTGGCTCTCTCTTCTCAAAATAAAGTCTTAGAAATGAGTTGAAAGCTCTGTGTAAACTGAGCCCTGGATCAGCGAGGTTGAGCCAGGTCCCAGTACGTGCTCAAGGCATCTCACCTGTTGCTTTAGTTAAAAATATTTGGCTTCTTTTTAAGTTAGTGGTTCTCAACCTGTAGATTGTGACTCCTTTGGGGGTTGAACGACCTTTCACAGGGATTGTCTAAGACCACCTGCATATCAGCTGGAACTGCATTCCAGTTCATAACAGCAGAAAAAATTACAGTTATAGAGTAGCAACAGAAATCATTTTATGGTTGGGAGTTACCGCAACATGAGGAACTAGATTAAGGGGTCACAGCCTTAGGCCGGTGGAGAACCACTTTTAAGGGCTCTCATCTTATTAGAAACTGTGTCTTCCTTAGCCCCAACAACCCCCCAAAAACCTTAATTCTCTGGACAAAATATACACAAACTCTTTGCCAGAGGAAAGACAAACGGCTTTTTGTCAAATTCCTAGTACAGTTCTTATTCACCTCTGGATCCTCACGGGGACATTCGGACTGTCTTTGTGCCTGTGAGCATCTGTCTTCTGAGTTCCACCATCACTGGCCACTGGGCCAGTTACACCTGCAGCATTCTAGAGTTTCTCTAGCTGTGTCTCCAAATTTACCCAAATTGCTCCAATAAACCCATTCCAAAGACTTCTGAGCCACATTGCTAGGAGCAATCACAGCAAGGATCCCCTTCCTCAGGATCAATTTTGGGCATTGTCAGACTGTTTAGCCTTGTGACAAAAAAAAAAAAATCCTCTCAAGGGAGGACTACTTGTTTTAGCTCACAGTCTCGGAAGCTTGCCCATAACTGGCTTGCTTCAGTCCAGCCCAGGGAGAGGCTGGACATCATGGCAGGAAGCAGTACACCTCATGGCAGACAGGAAGAAGAGGCAAAGCATAGATTCCTCTTTCAGGACCCCATCTCCTACTCCCCAAACCCTCCCAGCAACACTATCTAACATATATTGGAAGAGTACGCCATTGGTTAGCTAAGTATTTGGGTACTTCTCAACTGGCGACTGAGCTCCTGATACGTAAGCCTGTGTGGACATTGCACATTCAAAACACTCTGTTGAGGCCGAGGTTCTCAACCTGTGGGGTGCGACCCTTTGGAGGAATAGACCGACCCTTTCACAGGGGTCACCTAAGATCATCGGAAATACAGGTATTTATATTATGGTTCATAAAAGTAGCCAAACTACAGTTATGACAGAGCAATGAAAATTTTATGGTTGGAGGGCACTGCAACACGTGAAACTGTATTAAAGGGTAGCAGCATTAGGAAGGCTGAGAACCACTATGTTAGGGTGATCAAATGCTTCTTAGACAAAGCTTGTTTAGGTTGCAGGGTCATCCCCAGTTTGACATGAGTGAGTTTGTCTTAAAAATAAGAACGATGAGTACCACAGATATTCTTACCTTCTTGTCCTACTTCAAAAGCACATTTGGAAGGTTTTTGTACTCAATGTGAAAACAGAAATTGAAGGCTATTCAAAAGAGATGTTAGGTAATATACCAGCAACCTAAAACTGAATCCTGTTCTTGTAAATGTTTAATTTCATGAACTCTGTGAGCAAATGTAGGAGTTAAGGAACTATTAATATATCTTGGCTCATATCTTACTAAGCTAACATCCAACATAATAGATATTATTAAAATACTTGCTATAGTCAGGTGTACTTGAAGTGCTGTGTGTACACTGATTTATCTCTTTTCACAGCAGAGAAAGGATAGGCAGACCCTTCAGGTTCTGATATGTTCTGAGATGAGATAACCTAGAAACAGTAATGGAAAGACAGATCCAATAAAAAGGAAATAGCCAACATATTACGTAGATGTCCCTGGCTTAGAGTAGAGGCTGGACATTTGTGCCCTTAGGGGAAATAATGAGGTCAGACAGACAGGGATAGATCAAGCCTGGCACTTTTGCTGCAGAGCCTGGAATCAATGACGATCTGATGGAAAGTCAGGCAGACAGTTCAACTGAGGCATTGATCCACAGGCACTGGCCAAGAGGCCCTATGTGAGGTGTGACTGTGTTCCCACAGGCCAAAGCAAGAGAATGGAAAGATGGGAAAGAACATGGATACAGGATCCAAACGATCTGCTCCCTGGGACCAAAGTGCTCATATCTAGAAAACTTGGAGAACTCTGAGGAAGTTCAGGTGCCCAGCCACACTTGTGTTCACCCCACCCCAGTTTGCTGCCCTAGGAAAAGGAGAGGGAAAAATGAGAAGAATGATAAATTTCAGTTCAACACACGCACACACGCACGCACACACGCACACGCACACGCACACACACACACACACACATCATAGAAAATAATAAGATTTTTACTTTATTTTTTTAGTTTTTTATGGCCTTACTTTAAGCCATAAAATAACGGTTAAGTGATTCAGTACTTTTTCCTATCATTTCCAAGATTCTAACTTCCAATAACAGCACTGAGTTTTAGAATCCCATTCTTTGGATTACTAGACTGTTTCTTCTTTAGACTTGATTAGGTTTTTTACCAACAGGTAGTAATGTCAGTTTTTTTAAATCACTGAGCTCATAGGTCTGTCAAATAAGTAGTGATGCTGAGAGATTTATTGCATATTTCTAGCTGCAAGTTTTGTGTTGGGTGTTAGTGTCTTACAGCGTTCTTTAGTATCTAGCAATATACAGGGGTAGCAACCTTTCTCCAGTAAATTCCAGCTTGTAAATGTTTTAGTCCCTGTGGGCAACATAACTATGACAGTGTAGTGAGAAGCAGTCACAGACAATAAACAAAAAAACCACATTCTATACCGGCAGAAACCACCTTTCGGATTCAGTTGTTGGCCCGTGTTGTAAACAAACAAACAAACAAACAAACAAACAAACAAACGGAAAATGGGAAAATGAATTTCAATCTCGCTTTAAGCAAGTTTTTCTTTTTGATTGTCTTGTACTAACACAGGGAAAGCAGGGAGCCATTTGTCTTCCGGGCCACAGCCGCTGCTAAGGG